ACACAGGAGGGGAACGAGGAGGAAGACGGGCCGGAGACGAGTCCGGCGGCGGGAACACAGGACCGTAGACAGGGAGGTCAGCAGGCGGTGGGGGAGACACCGGCGCGCGGTCCGGTGAGGGAAGGCCGAGCAGGCGGAGAGCGGAAATCGGCGGCGACAGCTGCTGCGGCGGCAACGACGGCTGGGCCGGAACTCTCGGACCAGCAGAGGCAGAACGACCGTCGGCAGAACACTCAACAGCAGCACCCCCAGAACCAACACCCCCAGAGCGAGAACCCCCTCCAACACCAGCGGCACCCCCAGAAGCCGCAGGACGAACACCCTCCTCCACACCAGCACCCCCAGGGGCCAAGAGCGGCGGCGGCAGTGGCGGCAACGGCAGTGGCGGCAACGGCTGCGGCGGCGGCGACAGCGGCGACAGCTGCGGCAGCGACGGCGACGGCGGCGGCAGCGGGGTCGGCGAATGCGACAGTGAGGGCGGAGGCACCGGGGAAGGGGGACGCGGCAAGGACGGACCGGGGGTACCACCAGAGTCAGCAGACTCCTCAACGGGGACAACCGACGGGAGGGGAGTGACGTGGGAGACACCAGACGGGGCAGGACGAGGCGGGAGAGGGGCAGGGGCTACCGGGGGAGAGGGAGCAAGGAACAGGGGGGGGGCAAGTGGGAGACCTCGGTGAGGGAAGCGGCGGTAGAAGGAGACGGACTCGTCAAAGGTGACGTCACGAGAGTGGAGGAAGCGGTGAGACGGCGGGTGGTAGAAAAGCTAGTCAGACGAGTCCAGGGGGAAACCGAGGAAGACACAGGGGACAGTGCGGGCAGTGAGCTTGTCCGTGCCAGAGGCACGAACGTGAGCAAGGCAGCCCCAGACGTGGAACGCAGACGCGTCACCGGGGGACCCGGTCCAAAGGAGGGTCGGCGAAACCTGCGGCCGCTGGGAGCGTGGCCACAGGTTAAGCTGGTGAGCAGCGTAGCGAACAGCGAACGGCCACAAAAAATGGGGGGCATCGGCATGGATCATGGAGGTACGGGCGACCTCCATGACCAAGCCGATGCGGCGCTCAGCAACCCCATTCTGCTGTGGCGAGTCCGGCAAGGTGTACGACTGGGTGATGCCCTCCGCACGACAGAACTGTCCAAGCCGACCAGAGGCGAACTCGCCGCCACGGTCGGAGTGGAGACACAACACGGGGAGACCGCGGTGGAGACGCGCAGCCACAACCCACGGGAGAAGAACGTCGGGCACGTCGGCCTTCCGCTCCAGGGGAAACACCGTGGTGTAGCGCGTGTAGTCGTCGACGAGCACAAGGAAGTAGCGCTCACCGCGCGGTCCGGGGACGGGGGCAGGGCCCCAAACGTCCAAGTGCAGGGTCTGAAGGGGGGCAGTAGCAGGACGCAGCGAGGAGGAGTGAGGAGCACGGCGAAGCCTACCCTCGACGCAAGGCGTGCACGGTGGCGCAGTCGAGGGAGGAAGGGCAGGGAGCGACGCAGGGAGACCTAAGACAAGCCCGTGCTGGGACATGTGACGCAGACGCGGGAGAGCAGGGTGACCTAAGCGGTGGTGCCAGAGAAGGGAGGGGTGAGCGAGGGACCGACACGAGCAAGCTGCAGCGACCTGGGAGGACGCACCAACCGGGGGGGAAGCGGTGTCTAGGGTAAACAGACCGGACACCGGGTCCCGGGGGAACGTCACAAGGGGGGAACCTGAGACAGCCTCAGAACAGACAGCGAACCGCTCGTGCCCGGGGAACGTGGTGGTGCCGCCGAGGTCCTGGAGACAGCCGACACCAACCAGGTTCCTGGAGAACGAGGGAACGTGGAGGCCAGTAAGGGAGCCCGAGGGAACTGCCGGACAGGGAAGGGACGTAGAACTGCGCGCGACGACCGGACCCGCAGAGGGGTCAGCGAGAGAGACAACAGCAGGTGCAGCAAGCGGCGTGAGCGTGGAACGGTCGCGGAAGAAGCAGGCAGAAGCACCGGAGTCGAGAGTGAAGGACAGCGACGCAGTGGCGGAGGCCGGGGACGGAGCCGGTGCAGCGACTAGACTAGGCAACCTAGGCAGTCCTACGCCTGACGCAGCAGGGGAGGCTAAGCTACACAGTGGTGCGACACCTAAACTAGAGTACACAGGGTAATAAGATCCAGCAAAACTAGAAGTGTCAGAATACAAAGCATGCAAAGCAGCACCTAGCTGATCCATGTCTAACTCAAAGATCGGCACGCCCTGGCGGAGCAGGCTGTGCCAGTCGGGGAGGTCCGGGGCCGGGCCAAAGCGACGACGAAAGAGATCGTCGAGGCGGCGGAAACAGCGGGCGGTCGGGTGCGGGCGGCGGCACAGAGTGCCGCGAAGAGGCCCGGTCTGAAGCTGGTACTGGCAGGTGACAGCACCGGAGCCGCCGGTAGACGCCAAGCTGCGCGGACCGCCACCACGGCCACTACCTCCAGAGGTGCCGGGCCAACCAGGCGGGAGACGGGCCCACTGCTGCGGCGACTGCTGCTGGGACGGTAACTGCTGCTGGGGCGGCGGCTGCGGCTGGGGCTGCTCCTGCTGCGGCTGGGGCTGCTGCTCCTGCCCACCAGTGGTAGTCCCCGCAGGCGGATTACCGTCACCACCACTACTGCAACCACCACCCCTACCCCCCTGGCGACCACGGCCACCGCGGCGCAAGCGCTGCTGCGGGTGGACCGCACCAGCCGACTCGGTGAGAGGGGCCGCCGAGGCGACCGCAGCCGAAACGTCAGTGAACGCACACTGGGAGGGGGCACAACCGTGAAAGATAGAAACTGCCAGCGCACCGCTCGACTGAGCAATAGTGCGCTGGCGAGTCTCGATCTCGGTGAGGGTGTCGACAAAGGCAGTGAGAGTGAGGTCACCCGGGTGCTGGCTAAGAAAGTGATCGCGAGCACTAGCGAGGCGGTCTGGCAGGCGCATGGCGATAAAATAGAGCATCATGCAGAAAGGGGGGGGGAGCGCAGTGAGCTGGGCAGCAGTGCTGGCAGTGCGATAGCGGGTCTCTAGGGCACGCAGGTGAGTGGCAAAGTCTGCGACGGTAGGGAAAGCTGCAAGGTCTGGGAAAAGCATAGGGAAGAGCAGGCGACCAGCAGAAGCAGACGCGGGTGTGGAATAGCGGGCAATAACAGCGTCTAAGTAAGCTTTGGCCGTCTCAATAGTAGCAAAACGTGAGCGCTCAGAGACAGGGAGGGCGTGGCTAATGGCAACCTGAGCGACTGCATCGCGGGAGTCCCAGACCGCACGGGCAAGCGCAGCAGTAGAGAAGGTCTCACGGTCATCAGAGGAGGGATCAGCAGGGAGGGGAGCAGGTGCGGGGGGACGGGGGAGCAAGCCGTCGACATGGACAACCAAAGAGTGGCCATCCTGGCGCTGACCTGTAAGGTGGCGGCGGAGATCGGAGAGCCAGGCGGCGAAGTCAACCGCATGGCCCTCGGCGTCCAGTCGGAGCACGAAGTCCGCCATCGTGCAGGGTCAGCGGCACAGCTCCACAGGAACACAGCGACAGCCCCCTCCAGCACGGCGGCCGCGAAGCGCCTCAGCACGGGCGAGCAGAGGAGACGGAGCCCGAGGCGGCACGGCAGGACGAGCCGGGGCGAAGGGGTCAGGCAGGTGCGGTGGGGCCAGGCAGGTGCTGGCGAGGCCAGGAAGGCACGGCGGGGCCAGGCAGGCGCGGCGGGGCCAGGCAGGCGCGGCGGGGCCAGGCAGGCGCGGCAGGGCCAGGCAGGCGCGGCGGGGCCAGGGAGGCGCGGCGGGGCCAGGCAGGCGCGGCGGGGCCAGGGAGGCGCGGCGGGGGCCAGGAAGGCGCGGCAGGGCCAGGCAGGTGCGGCGGGGCCAGGCAGGCGCGACGGGGCCAGGCAGGCGCGACGGGGCCAGGCAGGGCGCGACGGGGCCAGGCAGGCGCGGCGGGGCCAGGCAGGCGCGGCAGGGCCAGGGAGGCGCGGCGGGGCCAGGCAGGTGTGACGGGGCCAGGCAGGGCGCGACGGGGCTAGGCAGGGCGCGACGGGGCCAGGCGGGCGCGACGGAGCCAGGCAGGGCGCGACGGGGCCAAGCGGCGGGGCCAGGCAGGTGCGGCGGGGCCAGGCAGGCGCGACGGGGCCAGGCAGGCGCGACGGGGCCAGGCAGGGCGCGACGGGGCCAGGCAGGCGCGGCGGGGCCAGGCAGGCGCGGCAGGGCCAGGGAGGCGCGGCGGGGCCAGGCAGGCGTGACGGGGCCAGGCAGGGCACGACGTGGCTAGGCAGGGCGCGACAGGGCCAGGCGGGCGCGACGGAGCCAGGCAGGGCGCGACGGGGCCAAGCGGGCGCGACGGGGCCAGGCAGGGCGCGACTGGGCTAGGCAGGGCGCGACGGGGCCAAGCGGGCGCGACGGGGCCAGGCGGGGCGCGACGGGGCCGAGCGAGCGCGACGGGGCCAGGCAGGGCGCGACGGGGCTAGGCAGGGCGCGACGGGGCCAGGCGGGCGCGACGGGGCTAGGGTGGCGCGACGTGGCCCAGGAGGGGGGGGGGGGGGGGGGCGACGTGGCTAGGAGGCGCGACGGGGCTAGGAGGCGCGACGTGGCCTAGCTAGGGTATGGGCGGAAGCGGTAGGTGGGGGATGCTAACCTACGCGTGATACCATGTCAAAGTGAGAACGAATTAATAACTAGAGGTGGAAACCTAGAACAAATACTAGTTGGTTGTACTCACTAGAAGCATACCTCAGTCTAGCCTATAACTTCTACATAGATAATATGTATAAGTTGACAACAACACCATAGCACAAAACCTGCCTGTATGCTTCATTCTAGTCATTGCGTTATTCCGAGATAGTAACTGTTCGTGTGACTGATAGTGGCGTGGCGTGACCCTTCAGGTAACTATACGCACGAACCTACGGTTCACGCGTTGACTCGCTATACTGCTTACGTCATCACGCGCGTCCTTCCATATGAGGTATTGCGCTACTAGTACAGGCTAGGTGTTATACCAGGAATGTATAAGTAAACTATGTCGAGTATACTTCAACACCAAATGTATAGGGTTGCTGCTACGCAGTCCAATAACATCGGGGGGGTACATACATAAAGGTGAATGTTCGGTTCAGAAGATTAAGGTGAATTTCTTGTATGCAGCGCAGTTCAGCATACCATACCGCTTTCAACCTCTCTGAACTGAATGGTCGACCATGAGGCGTGTTCGTAAAGAATGTTACATGCCCTAAGCTACCGTACTAACCGTGATCCGTGATACGCGCTGGGCATTCTTCACACCACCATCACCTGGCCGTCCATGCACCGACGGCCATGATGGGGCTGCCCTTCCACGTCAGCCTCGCAGCCCCCTGCGCGTCTTGGACGCCGAAGCGGCGGTCCTTGTGTTCCGTGAGCGCGCGCATGTTGTCCATGGTGTCGGCGCTGAGCGCCACTCGCCGGAATCCCAGGCGCTCCATGCGCTCCTGCCACTGCTCCATGCTCTCGGGCCGCACCACGCGCTGCGCGCCCTCGCACCCCACGCAGTTGACGAGCTTGCGCAGCAGCATGCCCTGCAGCAGCGCGCGCAGGGGTGACGCGCGCGGCACGGTGTGGTGCAGCGCGTCGAGGAAGGCGAGGAAGAAGCGCAGCGCCTCACGGAAGCGCGCGAGGAAGAAGGGCGTGTTGAGGCGCGCGTCTACCTCCGACAGCACCACCACGCGCGGCCGCAGCCCGTGGAGCCACTGGGGGGGATGGGGGAAGGGAGGGTAGGGGAAGGGGGTTTCAGATGCGGGGAGGAAAGAGAGATTGAGGAGCAAGAAACAGGTGAGAAGAGCGAAAATGCGATCTGGTAGAGGCAATGCGGGGGCCGGGAAGGAGGGGAAGGGAGAAAGGAGTGGTTGACATTGTAGCAGCGCTTGGCAGCTTGGCGGAAGTGTGTGGTGCAGTAACAACGCTGTGATGACAAAGCACCCCGTGTGGTGGCGCTGCAGTGCGCACCTTGATGAGCCCATCCCTGGGGTTGCTCCTCAGCACCGTGGCATCAGGGAACGCCAGCATGCTCCAACAGCAGCACACCAACACCTCCTCCTCCTCCTCATCCCCACCCAACCCATCATCGCTCTCTCCCCCCTCTCCACAACCTTCCTCTCCCCTGCCCACATCCCCCCCTCCCCCTTGTGCCCGCGTGCGTGGCGACGCATGCAGCATGTGCGGGCAGAAGTCGTGGGCGGGCACCTCAATGGCGCGGAAGGAGAGGGCGAGCCCCAGCATGTCCGCTATGCCCGCCAGCACGCGCCCCACCTGCTGCAGCTGCCCCGCCGCCATGCCCACCATGCGCACCACCGCCAGGTCGATGCACGTCACACGCACGTGCACAGGGGGGACAGCAGGGGGCGACGTGGAGCGAGCGCATGGCGAGGGGGCGGGTGGGTGGGGTGCATGGGGGAGCGGGGGCGGGGCGTGGTCCATGGCAATGCGCTGCAGCAGCGACACCCACTGGGGCACGTCTGGGCACCCAAACACTATCACGTGCACTCGCCGCGTGCCACTGCGCGTGCTGCTGCCTGCTGGCAGCGCTGATGGCGCCTCCACGCCACCATGGTCGTCCACCACGCCACAGCGCTGTGCCATGCCCCCCTCACACCCCATGTCACCACCCTCTCCACGCAAACCCACCACTTCCCCTCCGCCCACGCGCTTCCCCGTTGCCCCCATCCCCCCCTGCGCCTCTGCGTCGCCCCATGCTCGCCTGAGCGCGAGTGAGAGCTCGGTGGCAGCGGCGGCGTGCAGGAAGCTGTACAGCGCCCACTCCACGCTGCCGCACTGGGGGGGCGCGCGCTCCAGCGCCTGGGGTAGCGAGGGGCGCATGCCGGGGAAGGGGCAGGAGACGGAGTAGGGGGGGGGTTAGGAGAGAGAGAAGAAGGGGACATGAGATGTTCGGGAGAATGATCGTTGAGGCACATAGAACGTTGATGATCGTGGAAGGGAATAAGTGGTGATGGTGCAATGCATACTCACCGCAATGCAGTCAGCTCCAACCCTCCCACAACACACACCCATTCACTCTCCACTACCTCTCCCCTTCCCCTCATATCCTTCTCGCTCTCCCTGTCCCTTCCCTCCTCAGCGTCTCCACCCTTCCTCCCTCCTCTTCCCCCTCTCTCCATCTCCCCCCCACCTGGCCGTCCACTTGCACGGGTTCCTGCCAATCGACGGCGGCAGAGCCGTGCGAGCGCGCATGCAGGGCGGCGAGGAAGAGGGACGCCGCACACTGCGACGGCGACCCCTGGGGGCTCGCCTGCTGCTGCAGCCGCCGCGTGAAGCACCGCAGCCGCAGCTGATGGGGGGGGGTGGGGGGGGGTTGGAGAGGGACAGAGGGTGGGGGTTGATGCAAATTGGCTGACGGAGGCAGCAAGAAAAGCATGTGAGGGAAGAGTGGAGCATGGTGTGGTGCGTGGGCGTGTGGCGGGGTCACCGTGTCGTGTGTGGCGTGTGCCTCCCCCAGCGCCATCACCAGGTTCCTCACTCGCACTGCCTCCGCCTCCCCCCACTCGCCCCCCATGCGTGCTGCCACCTCAGGCGGCATCGACAGCTGCAGGCGCCCAGACAGTGGGGCTGCAACCAGCATGGCAGGCGCCAAGGCTGTTGCTGCTGGCTGGCCTCCACTCAACGCCCCCTCGCCCTGCCTCCGCTCCTGTTGCCCTTCCCTTGCTATCCACTCTGCTGCCTCGCGCCCTCGTTGCCTGCTGGCCCCCCTTCCTGCCGCTGCCTGTGCGTGTGCCAGCAGTGCCGCCCCTTCCTGCGCCGCCGCTGCTGCCAGCGCCGCTGTCTGCTCCGCCATGCCTGCCGCCTCTGCCTCCACCGCCGCCACTGCCGCCGCGCCATGGCTCCCCTGCCCACCCAGCCCCGCCGGCCCACCTGCTCCCGCCGAGGTGCAGCGGAGCCCAGCTCCGCCCCCATGCTCTCGGTCCCAGCTGCCTACACACGCCCTCTTTCGCCCCTCCCCCTCGCTCCCGCTGCTCTGCGCTTCACGCCACCCCCGCCACCCATCCACTCCCCTCTTCGCTCCCATCTCCCCCCGCGCTTCTCCGCCCGCCTCCGCCCCGCCCCGCCCATCTCCGCGTCCGTTCCTTCGCGCTCGTTCCGCCCCGCACCTCTCCCCATCCCGCGCGCCCTCCGCCAGCCCCTTGAGCACCGCGGCCAGTCGCCCCGTCAGGTCCGCGGGCCGGCAGGCAATTGCACGCGAAGGGGGCGCAGCGTGTGCAGAAACAAGGGGGGATGGCGGCGACGCGCGGGCAGCAGCGCTGGCTGCAGCGAGCGGAGCAGGCGCGGCGGAGCGGGTCTGCGCGTCCGAGTCGGGGGGGGGCGAGGCGGGCGGCGTCACGTCGCCGCACAGCGAGGCTGCGCGCGATCGTTGCGCCAACTGCCGCCGCCTGCGCGAGTCATACCCGGCGGCGCCTCCCCCCGCCTGCGCCGATCGCCCCGCGTCCCTGATGCTGCTGCTGGCGCTCGCGACTGCGTCGTAAAGGGCGGCGGACTCCCTCGCGGTGAGGGAATCGGGGCCGCGCGCCAGGGTCGACGCGCAGGCCTCCGCGAGAGGGGGCGGCGCGGCGAGCAGGTGAGCCGACCATGGGTCGTGCAGGGGCGAGAGAGGCGCGGCGAGGTCGGGGGGGATGGGATGGTCGGCGGAGAGGGAAGGGAGTTGATGGTGGGCGGGGAAAGGTACGGGGAACGACTCGCAGTCGAGCGGAAAGGGGTCCAAGGGAAAGGAGTCGAGAGGGCAGCTGAAGAGCGCGTCGACGCACACGTGCGCGTCCCCATAATCCATGCCGCGTGAAGCCACGGCGCGCCCGCGCTGGGAGAGTGTGGTGGGCGCGGTGCAGCTGCTGCGAGGTGCGATGTGAAGGGTGGGAAATGTGATGACGAATGGTGGTAGTACCACAAGGGGGAATGGCCGGCAGCTTTTATGCACCACCACCCACACCAAGACTGGAAACTGGCGCGGAAGGGATGTGACGTCACCATGACGACATCACCCTAGAAAATCGAACTGGGGAAGGTAGCTTCGACACTTGTGCTTCTAGCGAGATCGGCTTTGCAGCTGCAGAATAGTAGTTCACGAGCCTACAGTCAGCTGAAATCTTACATTGGTTTGTAAATGCAGCTCTTGAAAACAAAGTTTCTCTCTTGCAGCGAACCAAAGCACGTGGTCGGATTTGAGCCAGTTATGCATGACATTACTTAACGTATCATGTTGAAGTATATATCAAAGTTAACAAATGAGTAGAAAGGTGGGATACAAGGGAATATAACCTAGTGGGTTGTACTTATTGTGTTCCCCCTCATTCTCTCATTCCAATATGGTAACAGAGCGAGTTCCCCCTCCCAAGCCTGCTCCCCCCCCACGCTTCCGCCGCGTACTCCTCCTTTCACTCGCGCGCTGCCATGGCGGCCGCGTCGAGCTGCTATGGCGGCGCCGTCGTGCCGCTGGCAGCGCCATGCCGCAGCCGTCTCAACGCGCTGCCGTGGCGTCGCGCCGTCGTGGCGTCGACGCCGCTCTGTGACGGCATCGTCGCCGCGCGATGCCTGTGACGCCGCTAGATCTGCCGTCCCGCCAGTAAGCGTCGCGCCATCCATGGCGCGTCGCTGAAGACTCGCCAGCCTAGGGGGTGTGTGTCAAACATGTGTAATTGTCATGTTTGTATAGACTGTATAGGGTCATCTCTTAGAGGGTACAAGACTTAGGTATATCTGTGTGTACTCTCACTCTATCAACTAACACTCATCTGATTTTGTTATGGTATCACGCGTAGGTTAGGATCCCCCCCCACCTACCGCTTCCGCTCGCCCCTCCTAGCCCCGTCGTGCCCCTAGCCCCGTCGCGACCCCCCTAGCCCCGTCGCGCCCCTTCCTGGGCCCCGTCGCGCCCCTCCCAGGCCCCGTCACGCCCCTCCAGGGCCCCGTCGCGCCCCTCCTAGGCCCCGTAGCGCCCCTCCTGGGCCCCGTTGCGCCCTTCCTGGGCCCTGTAGCGCCCCTCCCAGGCCCCGTCGCGCCCCTTTTGGGCCCCGTAGCGCCCCTCCTCGGCCCCGTCACGCCCTTCCTGGGCCTTGTAGCGCCCCTCCTGGGCTCAGTCGCGCCCCTCCCAGGCCCCGTCGCGCCCCCCCTGGGCCCCGTAGCGCCCCTTCTGGGTTCTGTCGCGCCCCTCCTGGGCCCCGTAGTGCCCCTCCTGGGTTCCGTCGCGCCCCTCCTGGGCCCCGTAGTGCCCCCCCCTGGGCCTCGTACCGCCCCTCCTGGGCCCCGTAGCGCCCCTCCTGGGCCGCGTCGAGCCCCCCCCTCCTGGGCCCCGTCACGCCTTCCGGCCCCGTCGCACCTGCCCGGCCCCGTCGCACCAGCCCGGCCCCGTCGCAGCCGCCCGGCCCCGTCGCACCCGCCCGGCCCCGTCGCCCCCTGCCCGGCCCCGTCGCAGCCGCCCGGCCCCGTCGCACCCGCCCGGCCCCGTAGCACCGGCTCGGCCCCGTCGCACCGGCCCGGCCCCGACGCACCTGCCCGGCCCCGTCGCACCGGCCCGGCCCCGTCACACCCGCCCGGCCCCGTCGCACCAGCCCGGCCCCGTCGCGCCCGCCCGGCCCCGTCGCACCAGCCCGGCCCCGACGCACCCGCCCGGCCCCGTCGCACCGGCCCGGCCCCGTCGCACCCGCCTGGCCCCTGCGCTCGTCCCTGCCCCGGCCCCGGTCCTCCTCACTGGTACGGTTCCCCGCCCCCCCCCCCCCCCCCGCACTGCACCGCACTCCACCGCACTGCACCGCACTGTACCGCACGGCACCGCGCCCCACCTTGCTACACTGCCCTGCATCGCACTGCGCTGTTCCTGATGGCGGCGGAGCTTCGCTTCGACGCTGAAGGCCAGCCTCTGGAGTTCGAGGCGTGGCTTGCCGACCTCCGCCGCCAACTCACTGGCCAGCGGCAGGATGGCGAACCTCTATTCGCACACCTTGACGGTACGCTCCCCTGCCCAGACCCCCCTGCTATTTTGCCCGCTGACTCCACCCCCACCGAGCGCGAGTCTACTGCTGCCACTGCCCGTGCGCGCTCTGTCTGGCTTTCTCGCGATGCTGTCGCCCAGCTTGCCATTAGCAACGCCCTTCCCCCGTCCGAGCGCCCTCGCTTTAGGTCCCTCACCACTGCTCATGCATACTTAGATGCTGTCATCCAGCGCTATTCCACTCCTCCGGCTGCCTCGGTGGGTCGCCTGATCCTCCCGATGCTCTTTCCTGACCTTGCGTCCTTCCCTACTGTCTCTGACCTTGCTGCCCACCTGCGCTCGATAGATGAGACCTGGCGCGCTGCCTGCACTGACGCACAGCTTAGAGCCCACCAGCCGCCCATTACCTCTACCCTCTACCTGCTTGCCACCCGCCTCCCTGACCGCCTTGCTGTCGCCCGCGACCGCTTCCTTAGCATTCACCCCGCCGACCTCACCCTCACTAACTTTGTAGACACCCTGACTGTGATAGAGACCCGTCACCGCTCCATCGCCCAGGCGAGCGGTGCCGTGCCGGTCCCTATCTTTCAGGGTTGTGCCCCCGCTCAGTGTACCTTCTCCGACGGCTCTGCCGCAGTGGCTGAGACTGCTGCTTCAGCGCAGTTCCGTTCGGGGAAGGGCCGCCGCCCCAAGGTTGGGCGCGGCGGAGGCGGGGGTGCAGGAGGGGGTAGTGGTGGGGTCGGGTCGTCTGGTGCTGGAGCGGACGAGGGGACCCTGCCCAGTCCAGCTGAGCCGCCGCCCCTGCAGTTGCAGCAGCCGCAGCAGCCGCCGCAGTCGCAGCCTTCGCAGCAGCCGCAACAGCCGTCGCAGACACGGCAGACGAGTGTCCTCCCGCCCGGGTGGCCCGGTGCTGATGGTGGCCGAGCGCGTGGTGGTGTGCCAAGTGGTGGCTCTGGCGGCGGGCGTTGTCAGTACCAGATCCAGACCGGTCCTCGCCGCGGCTTCGTTTGCGGTAAGATCGATCACTCCACTCCCCGCTGTTTTCGTCGCCTGGACGACCGCTTCAGTCAGCGCGAGGGGGTGGACTTCTTCCAGACCTTCGCTCCGACCCCGAAGATGACTACTCTTCGGATTCTGTTACACATAGCTGCTCAGCGTGACTACGAGCTTCACTCCTTCGACTTCTCCACTGCCTTCCTTCAGGGCAGCCTACACGAGCAGGTCTACTTGCGTCGCCCTCAGGGCTTTACTGGCACCTTCCCTCTTAGGACCCAGTGGCTCCTCCGGCGCCCCGTCTACGGCCTGCGCCAGGCTCCCCGTGAGTGGCACGACACTCTCCGTGCTACGCTTGCTGACCTGCAGTTCTTTCCGTCTTCCGCAGACCCCTCACTCTTCGTTCGTGCTGGCCAGACTCCGTTCTACATCCTTGTTTACGTCGACGACCTGGTCTTTGCCACAGCAGACAGGGACGCACTGGCCTCCGTGAAGGCAGAGCTGCTGAAGAGACACACGTGCACTGACCTTGGAGAACTGCGCCGTTACCTTGGCTTGCAGATCTCCAGGGACAGAGCTGCGCGCACCATCACCCTGACTCAGTCACACTTGGTGCGCCAGGTCCTTCAGAGGTTCAGCCTTCAGTTCTCCTCTGCACAGCCCACCCCTCTGCCTGTAGACCACAGACTCTCCGCTCCAGTGTCTGAGGAGTTGGTAGAGCCCAGTGGCCCCTACGCAGAGCTGGTGGGTTGCCTCATGTACCTGATGACTTGCACTCGCCCAGATCTCGCATACCCTCTCAGCATCCTAGCTCGTTTTGTGGCCACAGGCAGACACCGACCGCAGCACTGGTCTGCCGCTAAGAGGGTTCTGCGTTATCTTGCTAGTACATCGGGCATGGGGTTAGTGCTAGGAGGACGCAGGCTAGTGGTCCTTACTGGACACACAGACGCTTCGTGGGCAGACGACGCCGAGACACTCAGGTCTACCCAGGGCTACTGCTTCAGCCTTGGCTCAGCTGCCGACTCGTGGAGAGCTACTCGCTCCTCGTCTATTGCGCAGTCCAGCTGTGAGGCTGAGATCTACGCTGGTGCCATGGCGGCACAGGAGCTCCGCTGGCTGACCTTCTTGCTCACTGACTTAGGTGAGCGGCCTAGCTCTGCCCCGGTCCTGTTCGCTGACAACAGGGCCATGATCCTCTTGTGTCAGGAGCCTCGACTTGAGGGCAGAGCGAAGCACATTCAGTTGCGGTACTTTCTCCTGCGTGAGCTACAGCAGCGACGTCAGGCTCGCGTAGTACACTTGGCCTCAGGTGCCAACACGGCTGATATCTTTACGAAGGCGCTTGCGCCTAAAGATCATCAGCGGCACTGTGTACAGCTTGGTCTAGTTCCTGTAGCCTCTCACTTGCTAGGACCTTGACTTTGTACTGTCCTTTATATGTATACTCAGACTGGACTTGTGTCCTCTCCCAGTGGCTGGACTAGTAGTGCCGCCCTGCTCTTGTTCTTGCCTTGTCTGTACTCCTTCTGACTGGTCTCTCAGACCCTTGTCTTAGAGGTTGGGCTAGTAGTGCCGCCCTGAGCTGCTTGTTTAGGACATTCCCCTATGCAGTCTAGGGGGTGTGTCAAACATGTGTAATTGTCATGTTTGTATAGACTGTATAGGGTCATCTCTTAGAGGGTACAAGACTTAGGTATATCTGTGTGTACTCTCACTCTATCAACTAACACTCCTCTGATTTTGTTAGTGTGTTCAATTATATATTGTTAGTGTGTTCAAGTACTGTAGAGGGTACAACATATCAACTTATACATATGTTCTATGTATAAGTTATAGGCTAGACTAGGTGTGTGCTTCTAGTGAGTACAACCCAACAGGTATATGTTCTAGGTTTCTCCTTCTAGTAATCATTCACGTATTCTAACATGGTATCGTGTAGGTTAGGTCCC